GCAGCCTTGGTTAAACAGTGGGTTAGAGGGCTCGAAGGAGAGAGATTTGAATGGGAAACTTCTCCTTAAGCTCTGGAGAAGCTTAAGGGCACTTCAATTTGGGAAATGGTCAGAATCTGCCCTGGTTTTCCAGTGAGAAATTGGGCTTTGGTAGTAAAAATGGAGGGCTAATGGCTGTGGGATTGAACTTATGAAAGCTTGAAGAGGCTCTGGAAAGATTTTGGCAAAGTCTCCCCAAGGATTTGAGTACACTCCATGTTTGGCCGTGAGAGAGTGGTGTTTAAATAGGGGAGCTTGGGGTGGTTGGCTGGGCTTCAATTCAGGTGCAAAGGCTTGCTGATGTGGAGGGTTGAGCGGCGTCAAAGGACCAATTGGAGCTGGACACATTGGATGGGTGCAATGGGTTTGATTTAAGGTGGGGTGGCTCTCAGTTTTGGGGCTCTCCAGTGACTAGGCCGGTCGGCCAGGCCAGGGGAGGTGCTCAGTTGGTTCAGGGGATCCATTGGAAGGTTTAATGGTGATTAGCTTGAAGGTTTGATGGCTAATAGCATATCTCTCTTGGTTTGCCCAATTTTGGAAGGAGATCCCCTAATTTAGGGGACCCTTGGTCAATGGCTCAACTTGGTTGTCTAGGTGGATCTAGGCTGGTTCTAAGGGTCTAAATGTTGGCTGTAGTGGGCTTGGGTTGGTCAATTTGGCTAGGTTTGGTCACATGCATGGCTTGGGTTCAAAGTTTGGGTTTTGGGTCAACTTGAGTCTAGGTCGGGTTTGGGCTAGGGTCTTGGTCAAATGATTGATCAATTTGATTTGAAAAACGGTCATGAGGAGCTTGGAAAAATAAATGAGTGATTTTGATTTGATTTGTGGGTTCAATTTGATGGTATTTGATTCGTGGTCAAAGTTGGGTCATTTGGGTTAGACTTGAGCTTGGATTGGGCTAGGATTAGAACATAGTTTAATTGATGGTTCAAATTGGTCTAAAAGATTGTCATGAAGAGTTTTAGACATTGATTAGGTAGAAATTTTAGAGTCATGAGGTTCAATTTGGTGGATTTGGGCCTTTGGTCAAAATTTGGGATTTTGGCTTAAGTTGGATTTGGGTGGCTGTGAGTTCAAATTTGGGTCAATTGATTGTTCAAACTGACTTAAGGAGGTATTATGAAGAATTTTGAATTCAAATTTGGTTTCAAATTTGGGGAAATTGGTTTGATCATGGGGTTCAATTTGGGGAAATTAAGGGTATGGCTAAATTGAGGATTTTGGATTGAGTTTGTAATTGGGCTTGCAATTGAGTTTAGATTTGATTTTAATTAGGATTGGGAATGATGAATTTGAGTTTGGAATTGAAATTGGGGGAGATTGCAATCAATTTGGTGGAACATGGGAGTGAATTGGAGAATTTGGGTCTTTAAGGACAATTTGAAGATTTTTGTCAAAATGGGTCAATTTGGGAAAATTGGGCCCAATGGAGTGGTTAAGAAAGTTTTAAGAAGACATTTGGATTGATTTTGGAGAATTTGGGAATTTTTTAATTTCTTTGGAATTTTTGAGGCATGAAGCGCATTTTGGTAATTTGGCGAAGTTTGGGGCCAAGAATGGGTCAAAATTAGAATTTGATAAAATTGAGATTGATTGAGGATGTTAATCATAAGGTCACCCTATTTGAGCCATGAGACCAAGGGAACTCCTATTATAGATCCTCTATGTGCTGGTCTTAGTCAAACCCTAGCCCAGGGCTAATAGTTAAGGGGACCATTCACATGAGTTTCCAATAAAGTAGGAGATCAAGCTAGGTATGTTTGGGATAGGACTTAGGTTGTGAGTGCAAGTGCAAGTGTGTGTACAAGACTAACCAATACCACACCACCCAGGGCTAACCCTAAGGCCAAGCAGTCTTATGGGGACTCCTCTTGAGCTCCCTCATATTGGCTCCACCAACTAAATGCTAGAGGTTAGAACCAATATGTGGAACTTCAAGATTAGCAAAGATATGTTTAGAAGTTATATTGGTAAAGGTGTCATCACTAATCTTCTAGGAATAGTCGACAGAAAGTCCTATGGCTAGATCCTAGGCTTCTAAGGAAAAAAGACTAGATCTCAACCAAAAGTTAGGTCAACTTCAAAAAGAAAAAAAGAGGAGATAGAAGAGCGGCATCGTGCACGTTTTGTTGGAGTGAGCCGCTCAAAGGAAAAGGGCTGTACCCGTTTAAGAGGAGAAGAAAAGTGGTCGTGCGTGAGTCAGGAAAGGCTCATAACAGAGGTATGATATACTAAATGAATTTAATATTAAAAGTTATAAATAATAATAACAATAATATTAATCTAATTAAAGATATTAATAATAAGAATAATATATTCTTTTTATAAACGTCAAAGGGCTAATTTTATTGAAATTAAAAAGATACATAAAGGTTATATGAGCGGACCCAAAAAAGGTGCCCTACCCATATGATACATTAGACACTAGCATCGTAAAAGGATGAAACATACATAAAACACAAAAAAACAGGAGCGGAGACAGCTAACAAATTGCTGAGTGTCGTTCCATTACCCGAAGTTACTAGAGTGTCATTCATTAAGTTCCCAAGCTGGTGTGTGCCTCCATTCTTCTTTTCTTTCTAGATGTGTATACCTGTCATTCCTCACCGAGGACTGGCTCATCTGATCGGTGTGAAGAGTATCATCCATTAAGTTCCCAAGCTGGAGTGTGACTTCATTCTTTTTTTTCTTTCTAGATATGTAAACCTGCTATTCCTCATCCGAGGATTAGCTCATCTGATCGGTGTGGTCAACAGATTGTTGGGCATGTAGGAGAGAATGAGCCCCCAGCTCCTGACTAGCAGTAATAACATTCTGATTCTGAAGAGATGGTAAGCATGTCTCTTCAACACCTGAAGCATCCTGGAGATGTGGAGCTTCAATACTATCCTGATTATCGAACCCAAGTAAATCATCTGTCAATATATCAGTCGGAAGAACAGAGAGAGTATTGTCTCCGATAGTGGGAGGTGGAGGTGGCATCGTATCAACCGGTGTTTCAATAGTTTGTGGAATGCACTCAGGAGCGGAGGAGGGACATGTATGAGGTGGGGCAGATCCAGAAGCATTTTTACTTGAAGGTTTTAAATTTGGATGCAACTGATAACATTGAGAATGAGAATGTCCAAACATACGGCA